TTTATTTGTAACTGTTGCGTTTTCAGATATTTTACTTTTCCGGAATCACCGTCGGTTTCATGCTGATCATGTCAGCCATAGTATCGACTCGAGATCCCAGGTTCTTATACATAGGCTGCCTTATGCTACCGGTTAGTGCTTTCCTGTTGGCAGTCCAGTGCAGGGTACGTCAAGACGCCGACCGCCGAAAAAGACACCGGCAGCTCAACGGTCGTCATAGAACAATAGGTGCCAGCGCTACCGTAGTCAACACACACCCTCCTCCCGCCATACCAGATGCAATACCTTTGCAAAATATGATAATGGTGGGAAACGATACCTTGCGCAGACAATACCAGGGCCACGTGTACCAATACGTCGGCCAGAAGGACAACGAGTCTACTTACACAAACCAGTACGATTCGGCTAACGTACAACAGTAAGTAAAACAACACATTTTATTTGAACTATAAACAAACTTACTCGAGTATCTATTTTATAGAATCGATGGGGTTCCTTGGTGGAGGCGAGATGATAATCGTGTGTACCACAACAACCACGCCGCTCCTCATTCTTAAAGACTAAGAGTCACTTGTTACGATTCCAATTGAATTAGACTATTGTAAAAGAAATAATTTTATACTTTAGCACGTGTATATAAATGTTAATATATTTGTTTTTGTAATTTATTTGTTCAATATAAATTAACATATTTTATTTAGCGGCAAATATATTTTATTTTGCCAATAAGTTGAATCCACTTTTAAAAAATATTTCTTTCCTCATAAGTGAGTCATTTAATAACAAAGTGAGCATAACATTGTATATTTTAATTTATGTCTTCAAAAAAAAAAATTAGCGTTACATTTTATAATTAGAAAAAATATTATTCAAATGCACTTGAAAGTTCAGAAGAATGATTACAATTTTTCTGATGTCTGTAAAGTGCACAATATGAAAAATGTCCACCTATATTATGGGCTACATTTACTCAGCCAGTAAAGAAAAAAAAACAAATGCCGATTTGAATGAAATTTACAAATTGTTTACATATTTAAAGTTTCATTTAACTACTCTTTAGAGATACTGATAAAAAAAAAGAATTGATGTTAAATATATTTTAAAAAAATTTTAATTTGACCTTTTGAAAGAGGTAAATATATTATTTTGAATATATGTTTGAAATAATAAATTGGAACTTAAAAGTGATAAATGTATTGATTTTAAATATACAAGTGTAATTTGTAAAACATAGTGTTATACAATTTAAATGAGTAACTACTAAGTTCCGGTATATTTAAAAATATTCTGTAACATTTAAAAGTATGTGTTAGTTTTTAAAAAATAAAATTAATTAATAATACATACTATAAAATCACTAATCAAATTGAATAATCATATTTTTTTGTATAATTTGGATTAATAAAAATATTATTATGTACATAAATAATTTAAAACAGATAATGGTAAAAACTACTACAGATAAAATGGTTAAGGATAAATGACTAATGAAGAAAATGATCAATATAATCAGTTACCTTTGGCTTAAAAATATGAATCTTTTTTTTCTGCTATCTTTTAATTTTTATAACTGGTCATAAAAATTTTAAATTAATGATTAAATTTAAATTTGTAATTACTAATGTTTTTTATGAGAAATTTTCTTTTATCAATTCATCACACAAAAGGAGAACAAATTCGAATATGTGATTTTGTCAAACAATAAATATTGGGTGGCATTTTCACCTTTTTTGATAATTTGAACTATAATTTAAAATAAACTAAAAAATTTAAAAGATGACATATAACATTGCACTGTCTAATTATTTTTGTTAATTTAAGTTTGATTTTATGGTACTCTATAAATATTAGATAACTAGATGTAACTCAGTAAATACTAGAGTAAAATCAAATACCATAATTTTTATAATATTCTTAATCAATTGAATAATTTCAAAAATAATTCATATCCATCTGGCTAATAAAATATTTGTTGATATAATAC